GCAATTGTTTCAAAATGACGAATTTTCTTAATGCGTATAAATATGTGTTAGCAGCTCCCCCAACTTCATAAATTGGACTCTTACATAAATTAAATCCGGAAAATTATAAAAAAGTGGTGCGCGATCTTAAATTCGATAGTATTTTCATAAAAGGTGTCCCCGATAACATAAAATTCGATCCACATATCGATTATATCCTTTAAGTTAAAAAAAAGTTTTAAAAAAATGTGATAGGGCCATTCCTTATATCGATTAAACCGAAAATTTACAAAAATGTGATGCGCAATCTTAAATCCGGCAGGATTTTCTTAAAAAGTGTTCCCACCAACATAACAGTCTAACCTTATATCGATTAAATCTATTAAATATTTATCCCTCTTTTTATTGAATAATTTGTTGTTTCAATTTTATAATCATCCCTACAACATAATAGTCATCCCATACATCGATCAATTCCGAAAAATTACATTAAAGTAATGTATGCAAAGTAATGCATGATATTACAATCATATATCTGACAGGATTATGATAAATAGTGCCTCCGGTAACATAATATTCGATCTGTATATATATTGATTAAATCCAAAAATTTTAAAATAATCGATACTCGTAGGAGTAATCTATAAATTGATATATATATATATATATATATATATATATTAAAGGTGTAGCCCCCTAAATCATAATAACAGTCCTCTGCATCGTTGAAATCCAAAAAGTTGAAATTAATCGATAGGCTAATCGATAGGAGTTATCCAAAATGTGATAGTGTTAAAAAAAACTACGCTCCCAACAACATAAATATAGACCGCTTAACAAAAGCAAATTACGTGTAATGCAGCTCTAAATACATTTATTCCTCTCCTGCGATACCTATATAAATCAACGCTTACGAGTCTACAGGGCATCCAGAACTCTATCCTTCGGCGAATTGTCCGTGGCACCACCATACAAAGGGCTAAGAATCAAACAATACGCGAGGAGCTCCAGCTCCCCTCGGTACCTGAGTTCATAGGCCGGAGGCACATCAAATTTTTTGATGGGCTGAAGGCCTATGCAAACCCACTGTTCAATGAGATCTCACCACCACCCAGACCTGGGAGGTGGAAAGGTAAACTCCCTTTGGTGGACATACTCGCCGAAGGATGTAGTCTGGGCTCTGCGGTCCAAACTCATTAATCTGTATATATTGTAAATAATAAAAAATTAGCAGAACGGTCCTTCCCCGTTCAATGTCAAAGTCACAAGGCCTTCTGCCACATATGTAACCCTTAGCTATCCCCAATCCTTAAAATGCCCTCGGGCAGTGGAAGGAATTTATTGCATGTATATATTGTATTATTGTATACTATATATGTAATTGTTTCAATAAACATTTTGGAGGGTAAGAAAAAAAAAAAATTATTTATTTGACTCAGCTCTGCTTTAAACAAGTTTCTCTGTTGTCCATTTGTTGTGCCTCTTCTGCCCCTATTTTACACCTGCTCTGAGATCTATTTGCGGAGCGCCTAAACTTGTGTTCACATTCACGTTCAATATTTTTTATGACCACATTACTTTCCCTATCTATATATATTTTGACTTCCCTATCTATACTAGGTAAGGAAAGTATTGCAATCAGGACATATTTTCAATATGAGGTTTTTGACGGATCTATACGTTTCAGAGTCTCTTCATTTCGAAAAACTCATTTTTAGCCATTGGTGTGTCTATCTGGCTGTGCCAAGATTTTCTCGGGAACTACTGAACCGATTTTGTTGCTTATTTTTTTTATTTTGTAGGGTTTTGACTACTGATGCCTGTGACATACATTGGATTCTCCATGCGCAATAAATGAAAATCATGTTTTTCTATAGACTGTAACGCAAAAACGACTCTAACGATTTTGATGAAATGTTCTTATAATGTTCTAATAATTGTCCTTTCCATGTTTGTATATGGACTATAAGTTACAGCTTTTCGATTTCCAATGTCTATATCTTGGTGTCAGAAAGGGGTGCACGAGAGAAAAAAATATAACTAAGTGAAAGTAAGATAGTCTGTTGCCCGCATGTTTCACTATTTCCCCTACTTTTAACAGAAACAACAATATTAGAGAATTTTTACACTGATTTACCTTAAGCAGGTTTACATTGCTTTAGTTTATCGAATAAATCGTACTCGAATCTTTTCTTTGATCAATTTTCAGGAAAATAAATGTAATTCAATTTGTTTTTGTTTCTTTTTGGATATATGTAAAGATATAAAAACTTTTCTGAAATAGGTAGGAAAGTCGTGTGAGTAGACACACCAGATTTTTTTCACTCAGGGGTATATAGTTATTAATAAATATAAGCCTTAATTGAACTAAAGTTAGAGGACAAGTTTACAGTGCGCTTTCCCCCGAATCTGTTAGAAAAGTGGTGAGAGGAGAAGGATCATCTTTCCATATCTATATGAAATATTTCTTTACCGTCTTTCGGCCTTTGACTTTTATAAGAAAATACTTCCAAGAAAAAGGTGAGTAATCGAAATTTGAACTCGGTTCTTCGGATAAATATCAATTCTCCTCCAAAATCTGTAGTATTTTATACTATTCTATAGATGTTTTTAACATAATTACCAATTTAAACATAGTTACGAAGTCAAAACTTCAGAACAACTATAAATCAAAGTATTCTTTGACTGAAAGTAATTGGTATCCCGAAGGTGAACTCATGGGGCACTAATTTGAAAGTAACATTTTATTTTTTCCGTTAAACGATGTTATTCGATCAATATTCGCCAGACTGCTCAGTCTTGTGCAAGTGCAGCCCAGTTGGGGGCGGGGTGGCCGAATAGGCTAAAGCGTGTGCACAACACCGCTAGTTGCCTGGCAACCGGATAACAGAAGTTTGAGATGATATAAAAAGTACGAGTTCGCGTCCCGGTGCCGGAGGGGATTTTTAATTCCCCGCCCTCATCCCCCGGCCCGGGAAAATCCCGTATAGCCTAAAAGGCGAGGTAGGGAAGAACAAAAAAAAAAAAGTGCAGCCCAGTTTCTAGTGTTCCGCAAGTTCCTTGCATTCTCTTCTACATCATCCAGCCATCTAGTCCTGAGGCGTTCCGCTCGTTTTGCTCGATGAAACTTTTTCTCAACATTTTTTACTTTTAATATTTTTTTTTCTACATTTGTTCTAACCTAGCCATCGGTATCAACGTCATCGGCGTATACTAGCAATTATACATTGCTGTTCAGAGGCCTTTACACAGTCCGCATTATTGAATCAATATCGAATATATGTCGACCATTTGAGTGATATATTGTGACAATTGTAATATGTAAACTAAGTTTAAGGATATTTCTTTAATAATATTGAACGTGTGAGGTGGGCGCTAGAGATTATTCCTGTTGTCCTAATTTTTTATTTTCGTGCAGCTATAACGCCAAATTGAATAGAAAGCAAACAAATGGAAAGGTTTGACACCACACGAACTGCACATTTAGAATTTCCGATAATTTTCACTAGTTGTTCTAGAGAAATCCTGGATTATTAAGCTCTTTCAGGGCCTTTTACAATTCCTTCCATCCCATACTGTCATACGCTGCCTTAAATTCGACGCAGAGATGGTGAATGCTTGCATTGTATTGTAAATAACCTACGGGAATTTAATTTTAAATGATTAGTTTTGGCGGGAATAGGCGCATAGCCTTCCGCTTTTATATCGGGGTTTAAGGTTATTTACACTCGTGAATCATTAAAACAAAACCCCGGCACTGGATATCGACTTTTTGAGGATGTTTAACTGTGATTGGGAATCCGGGGATCTAATACCTTATATGACACTGGGTGAGAAGAAACAACAAGAATATATATATGAAATGTGGGGCTTAGTAAACACTGAATAAATTGACTCACCTGGTTTATTCTTCAATTGTGAGGCCTATAGGATAACTAAATAAAAGGACTGTTCACTTCGGTATAATAAAATGATTTATTTTGACAATTGATAATAAATGAATATATGTAAGTGAACGGTCGGCTTGATAATCTTGGTCTTCAATGTAGTAAGCCTCTCTTCCCAGATGACGTCTTCTTGTGTTGATGTCCCAGGCCTAAAGTGTTTGGCGTCGTCCTCGCCATCTGTTGCCAGCTACCTGATCGGACCTTTTCTTCTTTTTGATTGTTTATCGATGTGAGATTTTCCAATGAGCAATTTGTCCACTGCACAATTGAGTACAATTCACAGTGCAACCTCACATTCCTATATATTATATATACCTTCTCATTCCCTCACACATTGTCATATAAAGGGGTAAATACCGGGGATGTCTATTACAGTATGGTTTTTTTTCAGGATCATCAAAGTATTGTTAGTTCTTAGGCTATGCTTAAGAAATCTGTATCTTTCTTTACCTCACCAAAAGATCTGACTTTCATCAGAAAGGATTTATGGTGAGAGCTGATTATGAGATAGGGCTGCCTCCTCACAAAACCCTTACATATTCCTCATCGGGAGCATCTAGGTGATGAGCAGAAGGTGATTTATGGTTAAAAAAGAACATTTGTCAGCTTAAGTGAATCTTGTTCTGTTTGTACAGTTTATTGAGCTTAGGAACCGACGGATCTATAATGTGCACTTCAGCTTATCCTTATTTATTTTACAAAATCTTATATTCAACTTGAAATGTACGCATATGTTTTAAATATTTTTCAGCTGATTTCGTATATTAAGATAAAAAACAGAAAGTCAGTTTCTGTTGAGTTCGCCCTCGGAATTCCAACTAATCTTGGGTTATTCATTTTTCAGTTAATTATTTATTCATTTACATATCTTTTTAGCAATAGATTTTGTGACATCTTTCCCGTAAGAAATAGATTCTAAGGTTATAAAAAAATTTAATGTGCTCCCGTTTATTGCCAATCGTTTGGTATACAGACCCATAATTAAGAACTTACCTTATTAATAAACAATTTTAAAGTATAATTACGTAATAATTAAGTAATTATAATAAATATGTAATTAATATTTAATTACAGAAATTTCCAATTCTTCGTCCATTTGATGAAAGGAGCTGTTGGTACTGGAGTTTTAGCTATGCCCGAATGTTTCAAAGATACTGGATTGTTTGCAGGAACTTTCATCTTATCTTTTGCTGGGTTGATAATTATTCACTGTATGCTTCTAATTGTGAGTCTAATATTTTTTTTTCCTAATATAATTTTCGCAGTTCATTATGTGAGAGTATATTAAGAGCATTTCATCACGATTTCAGTGATTTTGATTGCAATGATTATAATTACATAATTACGATGACTTGATAACGCGATTATGATCAAAATCTAAACCGTGATTACGATTAAAATCGTTTAATCAAATAATTGTGTTCTTTTTTTTATAATCATAATCGTGATCTTAATCATAATCGCGTAAACGTAATAAAAAATCAAATACACACGAATTTCCTATGTTTAGAGAAAGACTAGAAGGAAAACTACTATAATAATTTTTCTCTTTTCTTTTAGTACTCGGGAGCACTTTCTATGATAATATCGTCGATTTAGCATCTAACATTTTCCGAATAATGCTGTACTCCGATCAACATATTTCCCTGATCCTTGGAAAATATCTATTGTCAAAATGATCCACAAACCCAAAAAGCCACCAGAATATCCATCCTCTTACCGTCCCATCTCTCTGTTACCCATCATGGGAAAAATCCTGGAAAAACTAATCTTAAAACGCCTGTACCCAATCCTAGATTCTAATCACATAATCCCAGATCACCAATTTGGATTCCGCTCCTCCCATTCCACTATACAGCAATGCCATCGTGTGGTAGACGTAGTATCCTCTGCATTGGAGCGCGGTATGTACTGTACGGGAGCCTTTCTCGATGTTGAACAGGCGTTTCATAGAGTTTGGCACCCGGGACTGCTGTACAAACTCCGAAAATTCCTACCATCTACCTACTTCCTCATTATCCGTTCCTACCTTACTGATAGATACTTTAAAGTAAATCACAACAATGTATATACATCCCATTTTTCCCAGTCTGCAGGTGTTCCTCAAGGTAGTATCCTAGGTCCTATCCTTTACACAGTTTATACAGCTGACATCCCAACCCATCCCAACACTGTCATCACCACATATGCTGATGACACATGTATCCTATCAGTCAATAACGACCCATCTATTGCATCCCAAACCCTTCAATCCCACATCACAAACCTGGAAGAATGGTGTCAGAAATGGAGAATTAAAATAAATTCCAATAAATCCCATCAAATTACCTTCACCCTTCGTCGTAAACCAATGACTTCCTGTCCTTCAGTATCCTTTAACAACACCTCACTTATTCCTGTTGAACAAATCCGTTACCTAGGACTCCATCTGGACAAACGTCTAACTTGGAATCCTCATACCAGACTGAAACGACAAGAAACCGCTCGACGTTTCCGACTACTTCAACACTTACTAGACAAACGCTCTAACCTTCCAATCAATTATAAAAGACTGATTTACATGACTATAATAAGGCCTATTTGGACTTACGGGGTTGAGCTATGGGGCTCCACCAAGCCTTCAAATTCCTCTCGCATACAGTCCTTGCAATCCAAAATCCTTCGTAAAATCCTCAATGCTCCTTACTTTGTTACAAATAAAATTATCCATAATGACCTTAATGTTCCTTATGTATCAGATTTGGCCCAATCCAGATATCTGTCCTTCCATAATAAACTTCATAACCATCCCAACCCTGTTGTCTCTAACCTTGCTTCCTATTCGATTCCTGATAACCCTCCGAGGCGTCTGAAAAGAAGATGGCCACGTGATCTTCTAATATAGACATATTATTAGAGTGCTACCAATGGGTAGTTTCTCAACATGTGTTCCATGTCTTTATACCAATGTGCAAATTTACTAGATGTATTTTTTTGTATACAGTTGTAAATATCTTTTAAAATAAATAAATAAAATAAAACATTTTCCGGAATAGTGAAAAAGAAAACATAATAATATGTTTTATCTTCTTCTCTGGACTAAATATACCAATACCCAATCAAAGCTACAGGTCTAAGCTATCCAGAGTCAGATTTTCGGGTTGCTAAAATGAATCGTAAGCTCTGGAGTCCAATTGAAGTAATGAAAAACGTGTATAAAAATGGGTGAATTTGGCTAATAATTTCAGTTTTCACTGAATTAATATAAAATCTTTCTTTATTTCGACTTAACTACTTTTCTATTTTTAGAGGTTAAAAATACGAGTCGGTTTAGCAAAATATATTTATTTTGCTCATCGATAATTATTTCAATTTTTTTATGATTTTGGAAGTTCCACGGCAATTCAGTGCATTTCCTCCAATGCAAATGTTTAGATCTTTTGCAATAGTTTGAAAATTGTTCGAAAACCTTCATTGAGATGTCTACATCAATAATTAACAAACGATGGCTGCCACCGTTGACTTGAGACCTTTTGGAATCAATATATTTATTTATGTTTCTAAATACCTTTGGCTCGAATGTAAACATGATAATTATGACCAGATTAACAATAAATAATAATATAGTTCAGTACCACTGGTTATATATTATAGAAAATAAAAAGAAAGGATGAAAAATATTCAGCAAGTGCGATCAAAAATTATTTTTTATGAAACGTCGGCAATAAACATTACATTTTAACAGCACATCCTGGCCGTTTTTCATCTTTAAAATTTCAACAGCTGGAGATCTCAGCTATCCTGGGCCAAATTTTCACTGAACTAAAATAAATTGTAAGTTAGTGAATCTAATTAAATTATTGAAAAACCTTTTACAAAAGAGGCTGTATTTGGCTAACTAAAATTTCAGTATTTACTGTAAAATCTTTGTTTGTATTCACTTAAATATTTTAACCACTTGTGTGAGTAATTGGCTAAATTTCATATACTTATATAGTATTTAAAATTTTACTAGGTAATCAAAGGATCTTTCGCGGGCCGGTATGAAGTTGCTTGCGTATTTTGGAGATCCCTGGCTTATACTATCCCAAGTTTCGTTTGTATTGGACTCAGTTAACCTACCGATGTAATTAAAAATTATCGGTAAAATAGATTATGTTTAATTGATGTTTTGTCAGCCATTTTGGATTTTTCAAAAAAATCAGAGAGCTCCTTGGCTAACATTAATTAGTGTACCCTAAGGTCATTTAACACCAAATTTGATGCTTTTTTCCACGATGGAATTGTAACCTTAAAATTCATCCCCTAATCCATCTGACTAAGGTTTACCCTGTCTCAACCGCACATACCAGTCTACACATATAAAAACTATTCAATGTTGACATTTTTCAAAATTATTTTGATTTTTAGAGTGCTACCAATGGGTAGTTTCTCAACATGTGTTCCATGTCTTTATACCAATGTGCAAATTTACTAGATGTATTTTTTTGTATACAGTTGTAAATATCATTTAAAATAAATAAATAAAATAAAAAAATTTTGATTTTACGATTCATGCAACCTATAATTAACATCGGTCAACTTTACGAAATCAGTGAGATTCGAAATATAAAGCTTAATTTCATGACGTTCCTCTTATTCCACCCAATTCCGGTACCTAAAAACTTTCTTATTGATGATTACTTTTACTAGGATATGGGCTAAACGGAAAAACCGGGATCACTAGAACTTTCAAAATATAATTTTTTTTTTATTTTTTATTTATTCATGATATTTACAACTGTATTAAAAAATTAAATACATTAAGTAAATTTGATAACAGAAAATAAAAACATGAAATGACTTGTTGAGAAACTACCCACTGGTAGCACTCTAAAATAAAATATAATTGAAAGAAATTGCAGCGTAAGGCCGTACATAGAGCTAATTTCTGTTTCATGAACTAAAATGTAATTAGGAGCATATCTCGGAAGAAACAACATTTTGTATTACAAACTATTTTAAATATTTATAAATAAAAAACTTTTTTATTCATGTCTATTTCCTGTCTGTTATGATATTCCCTGAAGGGGAAAGCAAAAATTTAAATTTTATTAAAAGAATTTGGAGGACGAAAAAGCCGCAACAAATAATTGATATAAAATCATTTATAGTTAACCTTATTATTTGGTATTGTTGGCTATAGGAGAGCTAATATACTAAACTAGAAAAAACAATATATTATATTTAAATGAAATAGACATTCGACTAAATTCTTATAACTTTATGTACACTATTATGAATTATTTAGAACTAATCTTTTGCAAACTATACCCTTTAAGAAACAACTGGTCTTTACTCTAAAATTTCAATGATTTCATTATTCAATGATTATGAATTTAATAAAAGATTGGTCATAATTATTTTTACTGTTAATCAATTTAATTTGAGCTCTGACTTATTTAACTATAAAGTTCTATAAAATACGTATATAATTAGTGCTTTACTTGATCATGTGAAGAGTTAATGTACTGAAGATTCGGGTAAAAGTGCCTGTGTCGTTTGAAGTTCGGTAAGAAAGAGAATCCTTTCTTACCCCCACTTGCATGGTCTCCAATTTTAGCTGGCGAACTCTATATATAGACTTGAGAAACTGACTACGTGATTTCCATATAGGCTTTGTGAATAATCTAAAATTTCTGTAAAACACGATAGCTTGAAAACTTTAAACAGTTTTTAGAAAAGCATTTTGTTTATATTTGAATTATACATTCATTTCCGCCTGGTCCATTATACTAAGAAATAGAAAATTAAATTTCATTATGGTATCGTCCATACATATATACTTTTTCACCATACCATACCACAAATATATATATATATATATATATATATATATATATATATATATATATATATATACACATATATATGGACTGTTCTGCCCTTCTTAGCTCTTTCAAGTTCTCAATAGACACAATGTTGTGTTCACGAGTTGCAATCACCCTGAATGGGCCCTCATACATCACCAACTCCTTGCCCCTATTGGACCCTCTTCTTCTGTACACTATCGTTCAAATTTTAATATCGCCCAGTACGTCCCAGACTCCTATCTTTCATCACCTTTCTACTTTTTTCGTTCTCAAATTTACTCGTACTTTCTCCCATAGTTTAACCAACGCTATTCTATTATTGACGATATGTTCCGATAATTCCTCGTCCACTAAGAGGAACTCAAATAGCGAAAAACCTGTTGCTGTATGAATT